GAGACGAGCGCGACGATTGTAGCGCTCCTACCACGTATGGCTTCAGCTCCACGAGGAGCCACGAAGCTGCGCAAGATCCACTAATCAAACTAGCCGTTTTTGTTTTGAAGCAATCTAGCCTTTTTGTCTCAGAATATTTCGGAAATCGGCAGCACTGAAATGCAAGCATAATGGACAGAGATTGACACTCGAACAATCTTTATTTTCCCTCTTCCTGCAAGTAGTTCCTTCGTTCCAATTCTGAATGCGATTATACAAACAAAATGGAGCACGGCAAACGCCCTAAAACGTATTGCTATATGCATTGCATTATCCCACATTTCTATGTACAGATTTTATCCAGAGTCGCAAAATTTAATCGAGTTTGATGATTTTAGAGTTGTTCGGCAATCAGAAGGCCGGGCTCAGGATGTTGAGGAGGGAGACTCTGGTGTTGACGAGGGCTCTGAACACCTTCTCGCCGCTGCTCTCCACGTCCGCGATGCACCGCCCCAGGCTGTCGAGCCGCTCGAACGCCGCCTTCCGCTCCAGCTCCTCCGGGTCCACGGCAGCCTCCAACTGGGGCCCCGCGGCGGACGTGGCGCCGTGGCCATCGGCGGCGTGCTGCCTCTTAGCCCACCGGCGCTTGGCGCGCGACATCCATCGCATCAGGTCGGCGACCCACCAAATGCGCGGCATGGAGGACGAGGACGAGGAGGTCCTGGTGGTGACGACCACGTGTCTCGGCGTGGCGGACGACGGCGCGCTGCTGAACCTGGCCGGGGAGAGCATCCAGCACGGCGTGGTGGCCTCGACCTCGACGCGCGCCGTGGCGGCGGCGACGGAGAGCGCGGACACCCCGGAGAACACCGCCGCGGAGGCCGACGCGACGGCGGCGGCCGCGTCGACGACGGCGGCGGCGATGGCGGCCGCGTCCGCGGGGAGGTTGGCGGGCGGGGCGGGCGGGGGCTTGGCGGCCACGGCGCGCGCCGAGGAGGCGACCCGCGGGAGGTCCCGCGCGGACCGGCGAAGCGCGCGCGCCGCCGACGCGAGGCGGGCGGGCTCCTCCCTGCGCAGCGCGGCGTGGGCCTCGGCCTGCAGCCCCGCGAGCGCGACCAGGGCGTCCCGGAAGCTGCCGTGCTCGTCGGCGAGGCGGAGGAAGTCGTCCAGGAGGCGCTCCGCGAACGGGGACGGGCCGAGGCGGCGCAGCGGGTCCTGCGCCTGCGGGTGGTGTAGCAGCTCCGAGAGGGAGACGAGGACGCGGCCCAGCTGCGCCTCGACCTCGGTCACGGCCTTCGCGGTGGCGGAGGCCTGCGACTGCGACTGCGACGCCAGCAGGCGGCCCACCAGCGCCCGCAGGTCGGCGACGTCGTCGTCCAGCTGGAGCACCAGCGGGTGGAACCGGCACGGCAGGCTCGCCGATCGGGCGCGGTACGCCGCGGACTTGTTGGCGGCGGCGCTGGGACCCGCGCCTGCCGCGCCCGATGGCGGTGTTGGGGACCTGGGCGCCGGGAACGAGATCGTGCGGCGGAATCCGACCACCATCCTGATCCTCACAGTAGGCCTCCGGCGTTTTTCGGATTGATCAAGGTGGTCGAGGGGCGCGTTCTTAAAGGGAGGCGGGGGGTTGACTCGGTTCTCGGTTGGAACACTCGAGCGCACGGCCGCGCCTACTCCCTCCGTGCAGACGCGTGTCCGGTTCAAAGTCAGAATTATGTTTTTTTCTGGACCGAGGGAGTATATAACAGGGCTCGGCCGCTCGGGGGAGCCGAAGGAGCGCAGCAGCGGTGAAGCGGTCAGCCGTCAGGGTTTCTGGAGTCTGGAGTCTGGACCAGTTCTTCTTCGAGCCGCCAGCCCGCCACGCCAGTCGCGCTAGGCACGCAGCAGAGCGTGCTGGGTGGGTGCGGGTCCCGGCTGCCAGTGGAGCAGGGGTGGGTGGGGGTTGGTCGGTTCCATGCGACGAACTTTTTCGTGCTACGTGACGGGGCGGAGCGGGGCCGGCCACGGGTGGGGGAGGGAATTCTGTGGGGTCACGTGCACTGCCCCGTGGGGCCTCGGTTTGATCGGTTCTTGAATTCTGGAGGGAGGCGGGTCCCAGACCGGCCGCATCTTTTCCGCACACCAGCCGCAGTCACAACTCACAAGTCCACATCGTGCGGTAACGCACAAAAAAAAATGTCCACATCGTGCGGTTGCCGTAGTAGCCGACGCCGTGACCGTGGCGAGTGGCGACTGAAGAACCGCGTATCTGATGCGCCGCCTCCGGCTGACAGGGATCCAAGCCGAGTGCACTCACAGTTGCATAATGCCCCTATACCAGACGAAAAAATTGCAAAAATGACACTCGTGGACACAACTCGTCGCGCGGCCTGTTTGTTAGTCGCGACTTGGCACCCTGTTTCAGAGGCAGGCATATGTTCTTGGACTGGAACCACATCGACCGACGGGCGACACGGCCGAGCGATCGTTTCAGTCTCACACATGACTGGCTAGTACTACTACTAGTAGCGGCAACAACTTGAGCTAAATGGATTTCTCGGCTTCTTAGCCGCCGACGCTGGCTTGACTGGACTGAATCGATTGTTTGGACTCGATCAGAAACGACGTTCAGGTTCACAGTTCAGACCGAAGGCGAAAGGGTGAAAAGTGAAAACCCTCCACGCCACGAGTTCGTCCACAACTTCCGCCGCCGGGTTGCCCTCGACCTCGAGCGGGTGCGTCATGTCACGAGGATGTCCTTTTTCGACATGCTGACCGTATGCCGGAATGTTTTAATGGGGGAAAGCAGAGAATGTTGTGGAGCTGTTGAGACTAGAGGACAAGGACATGGAGGTTTGCCAACATTGACCTGTACCAGGTGCAACCTGTGCTGACATGCATGACGAATGCAGGTGCGAAAGCAAAAGAACTTCCTGAGACAGAATGGAGAAGCAGCTGAAGGCTTGAAGCAGACAAGAGTGAACAGTGAACCGTCAGGTTTCTGAACTATATGCAGTGAAGTAACAGAAACACTGCTGTTGTTTCCATCACAGCTTTCGGCATAGAACTGGGTAAAAGATGGTAAGATTGACGATTGCTTTGATGGCAACTTCGCATGCCAGGATCGGAAAAGAGAAAGAACTGAAGCCCCCACAAACCTGCTTCATGTTAATGACTCCATGCTTTCTTTTAATCAGTTCTAGACTAGCACTAGCAGTGTAGGCAAAACTTTGGAGGAGAGCAGTTGTTCTTGTTTTCCATTAGTTCCGTTATAAGGAGTATATAAAAAAAGAGACGTCGTAGTCTTCTTAGATATTCACATGGGTGAATGCATCTAGATTCTAGTCTCTGTGCAAGATAATGGCCGCGTCGATGAAAACTCAGAGGCTGCAGTGCTGATTCGTAAGCATGTCTGATCCCTTTGTTTTGTTGTAACTGAGTGCATCAGTGCAAGTTGCTCCTTCTCTTGTCATAGGAAGGGGCAAACACCAAACAGAGAGTGGAATGAAATGATACGATGAGTTTGCACTGCTTTAACAACCGTTAGCTCCTGAAATTGCTACCAACTCCACTTTCTGTGGTCTGTGGAGGTAAACCTAGTACAAGTACTTTCTTCACTGGTGTATGGCTGGCGCCCCCCAATTAGCGTCACACTAACGTTAGCGTACAGTGATAAGGCCTTTCAGAAAAGTAGTTGGATTTGTTTTTGTTTTTTTTGCATGTTTGTATAACATCAAAGAATCCATTCACTTATTAAGAGATTTAATAACTGACATGAGATAAACGGGGATACTGGCCAGGTACTCATGCAGGATTTAGGTCAGGTCAACTCTGCCCCCCCCCCCCCCCCCACACACACACACACACACACACCCACCCACCCACACACACAATAGAGTAGTAGTCTTCTCCAGCCTCCCACTCTTTTAACGAAAAATTTATCCACAATTCGTTGAATGTCCTCTCTTCTAAGCTTGGATTAATGCTAAAGGAACACCTAGTTTTTTAAAAGGGAAATATGTTCTTCTAAGATTATCTAGCATTAGCAAGCTAAATCCATGAGTGGCCAAGAACAAGATAGACCAAAAGACAACATAAACCTATCAAAGTGGGTTTCCTAATAATTGGATTAAATAAGTCACAAAAAATGGATTAAATATAATTAAATATTAATTAAACAATATGTATATACTCAAGCATTCCTTGAAATTTCGATAAGAAAACTTTTGAGTCCTAACATTTTTTTTTATCATTTAGAGGATAATTATGTTGGTCTTGTCTCAGTCATATACATTATTTTCTATATGAATCATGCAAAACCTTGGGTGCATAAGTACTAAATTCGTTTGAGCTGTTACTTGCTTCCTCTGTCTCAAAAAGAATGTAATTCTAGTTTTATTCTAAGTCAACCATATTAACTTAAGAAAATATATACAAAAAAGTATTAACATTTATAAAACAAAATAATTATCATTATATTCCTCATGGACTACATTTACATGCAGTATACCTATTTAGAGTCATATGGATACTATTTTTTATAAACTTGAATTTGATTCAGTTCAAACATAGAATTGCATTCTTAGGGGCTGGAAAGGTTGTACCTTGATATATTGTACTGTTGGTTCTTGTACCTAGTAGTGCCGACTGCCGACGTAGCTTCCCTACACGTTAATTGATAAAATATAAAATATATGGCTAGTAACACATATAAGAAAGGCTTAAAATAATAGACTAAATTCCGAAATTACCAACCAAACCTCGAATGTACATTTCGACACCAGAACTGAAGCACAGATCAATTCTATCTGTCCTGAAAACCTATTTGAATGCAGGGCCATACAGAATTTTACAGACAAACTGTGAACAACTTGATCTCAGGGCACACATTTTCTGAGTGAAATGTACAAAAGACTATGCACAAATAATGAACTCTAGAGTATCTAACGGTCACAGGTCACTAAATTTTGTTTCCATTAGCGAAAGGTTGAACAAAGAACAGCAGAACTGGCTATATGGGCAGAATGCTATGGTACAGCCTATCAGCAGCAACGGCAGCAAATGACATCTCGGCACGTGTAACGAGCAGCTCTAGCTTCCAGCTCCTCACTTGGGGGCACAGCTTCCAGAATATATCCCTTCTGGCTAGAACAGCAGAAGTCGTACAGATTTCTGCATATGCCTCTACTGAATGGATGAACTCTTTCAGGTACTCCCCTGCAAGCAGTACAGCCACAATGTTTCACGTATCTTAACAATACCAAAAAAAAAAAAAAATACCGGTCACAAACTGAGTCCCTCCTATAGTGACATACCTTAGGTAGAATATTCGCTTTCTTCTGGCAACTTCGTAGGTTGTTTGATTTGTTAGAGCAATGTACCTGCAAAAAAAACATCAGACCAACACACATTTATATGTGAAGTGCTTTTTTAGGGATATACACAAAGTGTATCGATTTGGGGTTCTTGAGCTATATACCATGTTGTAAAAATGCAAAAAAGTATGCAAGTTTCTAGCTTTTAAGATGTGTAGCTTGACGCTTTGAGAAAGCATTATTATCCAGGACGAAGTGGAATTGTTGGATTTGTTTTCCTCGAATGCGCAGCTCATCATTATATAAAGTGGAATTCTGGATGCTACAGTGTAAATTACATGTGCCAGTGGTTGATCCATTTTGTTTCTTTTGTTTTGCTTTCTTGTCATTTTTACTTATCTGCAATTAATATTTTCAGAAATGTTCCATCACCATTTGAATTAACCAGTTGTTTTTACTTTTTCGATAGAAAAGGCAACTAGTAGCCCTAGATCTACTGACTCAAGGGAACAAATGTAAATTTGAAGTTGCATTTGATATTTCGCTTCAAAACTTATAAGCCTATCTATTCAAAGACATTAGACATGGATAAAACTTACGAATGAAACAACCACAATAGCAGTAGGAATATAAGGATAAAGATAAGCACTGCCAATAGGATTACACCAACAAAGTCCTTCCACCTGTAATATGACAAAAATGAGCCTAAACCAACATAGCAGGAAAACCGAAGTCCAAATTGAAAACATAAAATTCACAACAGGTGAGCAGCCACATAAAATTTTGAAGAGAATAACATATCATACCAGGCCTTGTCCACATCTAAACACAATGACTCGATGTAGAGAGCAGCAGTCCAGATACACAGGATTGTTTCTTCAAATATGTACCACCTAGGAAAGGCGGTTATACAACCATAAGAACAAAGAGAACTTCAACGATAGTATCATACTGCAATTGCACAGCATGATGAAAGACAATATGAAAGCCTCAATGTGTAATCACAATAATGTAGTAGTAGCAGTAGTTAGGTTAGGTCAACAAATAAGATAAATCATTATATCACAAGAGGAAGGGGTGTTGATTCAAATACTCAGTGGCATTTAAGGTCTATCTGTCTAATGGTACACAGTGTAAATACTCCAGAGCATTGATCTGATCAATATGGGTCTGATTCATTACCTGTATTAGGCTTGGTCTGCATTTGACCTTATGCAACACAACCTAAGCTGGCATAAATGTATGCAGTGCCTTCATGTTTGGTTGTCATGAATAGGCAAAGCCGTGCCTGATAAAATTGTGTTTGTTTGTTTACATTTTATTGCATGTCACATTATATATTCTATTAGAGGTCTCATGTTTCTAGGAAAGGTAGAGAATGTGAAATAAAATTATTTTTATGTGCCCATCGGCTTATGCAAATCTGCATTGTCTAATACAGAAAAATCTGGCGTACTAGCTAATGCTGCATTGGCCTACTTTGAGCATTGTGCAAGCCTGCATAAGAGCCTCTGCAGGCACCCAAACAAGGGCAAACTGCACTGCACAAGCTTGGATACAGGCTAATGCAGGCAACTAATCAGACCCTATGTACTTTCAGTCACAAAACTACAGTTCTGGGAAACATCTGTGGATACAATAAGCTCCTCAGAACGTTCATCAATGTCCCAATCAAAGAAATAACTGTAATGTTTCTGCAACAAGTATGGTAGTGTGTAAAACATGTGTGCAAGCACAGCACACCGCAACTGATGTGCAAATGAATGGAACATATAGGTGAAGACACACATTAAGAACTCACCAAAAACGACAATGGTTCTTTTTGCCAATGCATGTTCCAAGCCATATGCAGTGATGATCAAATTGAAGGACACATTTATCACAGTCATGGCAGTGCCGGGTACGAGGTGGCTGCAAAAGGATGTTGGTAGCAAAACTTTAACTCTGACTATCAGAAGCAACAAGACATGGGAAATTTCTAAGGACATAATAGTTGAAATTAGCATGACACCATGAGATTTTGGGAGAACAGTTATGAACAAATAAGATGTGACTTTGTAAGAGAGGTCCTGTGCCTACTGCAGTGCTAATCAGTTACTCATCAATCGATCAAGATCAACGTATTAAGTTTTAGAGGATTCTTAATGCACAAATAACCTTCATGATCAGAAATGAATCTTTGAATGTCATAAAGTGATAAAGAAACATCTATTATTCTTAAAATTTAGTCAAACACACTTGTGCATAACTTAAAGACAAGTGACTCGTGCAACCAACTCAATTCGTGCATAACACAACTATAGTAATACCCACTTGCTTGTAAAAGTTAGAGAACATGTAGCGCTTGAGGATAAAAGAATACCTGAACAACCCTGCAGTAAGTGCAAGTCCAATCCCTAGAAGACAATGATGGATATTAAACATATTACTATATGGCGAATACAAGAATGCTAAAACAAAAATACAATTAAAAAGATACAGCGCCACTTCTAAGGACATTGTTGCCTCAAATAAAAAGAACTTCTCAATAGTCAAAGCTATACCTGCTGCTTGACCCTGGAGGATAAAGATCCATAACCATGTGTGCCCATGACGATGTAGGAATCATCGTGCTAAGTTTCTGTAGTTGAGCACCACTCGTCGGGGAATTTGTGTTTCCATTTCTTGAATTTGACTGCCTTTTCTTAATCATCAAAAAGAGAGCAAAAGAAACCATAAATATCAATGCATGCATCTGATATGTTTTCCTGACGCCAGAGAGATCAAATTACCAGGTGCAATGCTAGGGTTCTAAAGACATTACTTTGAAAGAGCAGCAGTGTTGACGAAGGTTGCATGCATCATGGAACCAGCTCTCATTACATCAATAACATACCTGATATCACACAAGTACACAACACATAGAGTCACACACTTCCTTGTTTCCATATCCAACATATTATTCCGTTACTGAAGGATGAGGATAACGTCAGAAACTAAAATAGCAATTACCCTGGAGATGAGCCAGCTGTGTAGAAGTATTGCACTAACGTGAGCAGGACAAGCACTCCATACAACCCTATATACCTGGAATAAAAAGTGATCTGTAAGATCAAACAACATAGCAACCCTTTCTCTAGATAAGAATAGAAAATTCTACTACATATTTTTGTCAAACTTCAGGAGTTAGAACACAACTTGCCGACATGAAAGGGAGCACGACATGGTACATAGTGGATAAAATCGAAAACTACTAGTACTAGTACTACGCAACTATAGGTCAGGAAATTTTAGAAGAATTGACACTAGACAGTATAAACACTTGCACAGCATGTCCTATCAATCCAAATTTCCATGAATTGAACCATTCAGCTATATCAATAATCAGATGCAGAAACAATTGCTTACACAAGCAGCCCAAAAAGCTTTTCCACGAACAAATCAGGCAAGCCTAGAATACATTGAAACAGTTAAGAGTAGTAAGAAAGCTAAAAACATACTCGACAGCAGGCAACCTAGAGCTTAAAGGGTGAAGAAAGGTCTGAACACGCTTCTCCGCATCAAGTAGAGGCACACGGCCTAATTTAGAACAAATTCAAAAAAAAAAAGAGAATCGTACCACGGCTGCTCGTGGATTCGCCAGTCGAGGGTCGGATCGAGGATGAAGACAGCGCCAACGAACAGCACGTGCATCAGGAGCACCATGAATCTGAGTCCCAGCGACGACCTCCTCGCTATGCAGAAGCCCCCAGAGGCCCAGATCAAAAACCCCCATGGACACAACGAAGCACCAAATCGAGCCTAATAATCGCTGAATTTTCAACCCACAAACAAAATCAGGCGTAGCCAGCGTACCTCGATCAGAGAGGCGGGAGCTGGGCTCGGCGGCAGAGGAGGACGCCATTGACGCCGTCTCCGGCGCATCCGACGGTGGGGCTCCGGCGGGGGTCGGTTTTGTAGAAGGGACACGTACGGGAAGGTCACCGGCGCCGCGCGGCCCTGGTGCGTCGGAAGCGACGATTTCGGTACAAGAAGCAGGGGATCCGTTCCGGCGGGTCCTACCTGGCAGACAGAACATACTATTGTCTCATCGAGGTGGATGGGGCCCATCTGGAAGTATGAGCGGGCCAGACGAGGCCGCGATGTGGGCTGGATTTGTTGCGCTCCCTGGTTGTGGCATTCATAGTTCGTAGAGTAGTACACAAGATTATAGAAAGCACATGTCGTGATTCATGCACGAGCACGACAGCAGATGGATATATCCCTATCGAGAACGGAGGCAATAGCCACTCGGACGTCCGGCGTCAGCAGCGCGTCTAGACGCAAGCTCCGACCAGTCAACCGTGACTCGATACTGTGAACTTGGGCTACCAACTGGAATTCAACGGGGGAGCCTCTTACTTCTGCCCGCGTAAAAGACGAGATCGCGCGCTCCCGTCCACTTCGCCATCCCCCGACGCTCCCCCTCTTGCCGCACGAGATGTGCCCCCTCTATAGTGCCTTCTTGCCCCCCTTACCCCCCACCCTCGGCGTTCCTTGAGGAAGGCACGAGGTAGGAGCCAAAGCCCTGCGGCAGACGCTCTCCGTTAGCCACCGGCGCCGTGTAACATCCGATATACTTTTGAAAAACATCCAGATGAAACATATGCAACATACGTTTGAAGATAGATGAAACACTTGAAACGTGCGTGTATAACTATTGCAAAATGTGCAACACCAGATCAACAAACATCGAGATGAAACATTTAAAACAAAATGTATGAAACACATATATATTGCCATGGCAACATATACTGATATACAACATCCAGATCGACTTTTGCAACATTTAGATGGAACAATTGAAACATAACTCTGAAACACCTGAAACACAACGTCGCCAGCGGCCATGGCTTACGTGGTGGTGAACTGCGATACCGGCGGCGAATTCCTCCTAGTGGCGCCGGGGTGGTGGTGGCGCAGTGCACGCCATAGCTGCGATGGGCGAGGTGGATGGGAGCGTGGTGGGGAACGCCCCACGCGGCGTGGCGTGGGATTGGGGCGGGCGTGACGCGGGATGGGGTGCGGTATACCTGAGCAAATTGAGCCCGGCCCGCGGCCCCGGCTCGAGCCCGATAGGTTTTAGCCTACCCACGGACCTTACTGGATAGGGCCTGGGCACAGATCTCGCTGCCTAGAAAAAAATTTCTTGGGCCGAACCCGGGCCGAAACACTGCTTCTTGCTATTTTATAATGTAAAATGTGCGGGCGGCCCGCCAAGACCCAGGCCCAGCCCAAAAAATTAGGCCCGACTGGCCCAATTGGACGGTCATGGGCGGGATTTTTTCAGCCCAAAATAACCAGCCTTTTTTGGCCCGGCCCGAACCCGGCCCGGCCCCAAAATGCTCAGGTCTAGGCTGCGGCAGGGGATGACCGCGGTGGGCGAGACAGAGTGGGGCAAGCAGACGATGCGGTGGAGTGGCCGTGTCGGTGAATGTTGTGGCGGCGGGCGATGTGGTGCCGCAGCGGGCGTAAGGCGCAGTGGAGGCTACTGTAACACCTCTGGTGTTTGGATCTAGAACTAAAACTTGGCATGTCATCATATGCATTGCAAAGCATTCATAAAGAAGAAAATTTGGAATGCATTCACTAAATAAGATTTGTTTCATAAGTTGTTATTTTATGTGATGCAATGTGATTCAAAACGTTAAACAAAGATCATGACCACAAGGGTCAAATTTCATGTGATCATGTGAGACCATGTGTCATTTGACTCAAACAACCCTAATGGGCCATGTTACTGGTCAAAAATCAAAGTTAAAGTAAAAGAAAGACAAATCAAATTTGAATTCAAATTTAAATTATAAAAGTCCTTTTTGCCCCTTTTGGATATTTCAAAATCCATTTGGAATTTGGGGTTGTGACAAAAAACAAAGTTGGAGCTTATTTTATAAGGATCAACTTTGGTATTCAAAGTTTTTCAAGTTTACATATAAAATTTGGAGTAATTTTAAAATTATTCAAATGCTCAAATGCACCCCAAATTCAAATTTCAAAATGGAGGCAGAATTTGAAAATATTTCTAGAAGCAAAGTTGTAGAGTTTGAAAAATTAAACAACTTTCATTTTGGAGATTTTCAACTTCTTTAGAAAATTTGTGAGTAATTTGAAAAAAATGACGCAGATGGCGATTCAGTAAATTTTTCAAAAATCAACCTCCACCTCTCGCTTGCACGGTGACGGTGCCACGCGGAGATCACCACCGATCGGATTTCGCCGCTTTCATGCGCGCAGTGACACGCCAATACCTCCGTGGCGAGTTCGCCTGTGTCTTTATCAACACCGCACGCCTCCTTCTTGCTATAAATAGGAGCACTTGTAAATCGTCATTTGGAGTTTTTTTCCGTCGACCGCTCATCGCCGGTGTCTTGCCCGCTTTCTCGCACAATTCGTTCTCGCCGTAGTATCTAGGGCCAATTGCTTTGGCCGAAGCTCCGCCTCGTCTTTCTGCTCATCCCAAGCCCGATCGTGTCGCTCCGGAAGTCCCAGCCGCAAGATGACTTCGTCTTCTTGAGCCGCCCGAGCTCGCCATCCTTGGTCTCACGTGGTCCCGTTGATTCGGTACATCTCCACCTTCACCGAGCCTACCTACGTGATCACGGTGAGCTTCTGAATATGAAAACCGTTTCGCTTTAGTCCCTACTGCAGCGTCACCGTGGCTACGCCGTACACCGTCGTTCCTAGTCCGCCATGCCCGGCGTGGAGGTGTCTCTAGGGCACCTTTTTCCTTTCTGATAGCTGAGATTGGTTCGGGGGAAGTAGTAGATCATTTTGGTGAGGTCTGTTTCGCCGGAGCGTCACCGTCGGCGCATTTTGCGGCCGGTCAGTGAGGGCAGCGCCGTCGTGACAGGTTTGAGTCACTGACGGGTGGGGTCAGCCTGTCAGTGCGAGTGAGGAAGAAGAACAGTGATGATTTTTATTTTATGAATTTGTGAATAGTGCTGAAACTTTGGGAATTTGTAGGAAATTCATGATAGCTCCAAAAATTCTGAAAAATTTTGTGTAGCTTCTGTACATGCTCTAGTATGGTTTAAAAATTTGAAACTTGAAATTTGAATAAATTTTTAATGTTCAAATATTCAGTCCATTAATTAATAAATGTAATTTCCATGATTTTTGTAGGCCATTGTATAGCTCCAAAAATTTTGAAATTTATTTTGATACACTAATTTGTTATGAGGAAGCTTACATAAAATTTTGAGGTCATTTGGAACAAGTTTATTTTTGGGCTTAATTTAAATTAATTAAAAATTTAATAAAAGCAACCCTAATTGTTAGGATTAGGGTTTAATTTTGGTTTGGGTTAGGTTGTGTGACCAGTAGGGTTTCAAGATCTATTTGGTCAAGTCCCATGCATGGTTCTTGATGGTAGGATTGCAAGTTGGTTTTGTTGGCTTGCAACTGTACCGTGAAATAAAATCATTTGCGGGGTGTTGTTACATTTCATGTACCATGAAAGCATCATGTTTACATTATCATCATGTTAAAGCATATGTTATCATTTCGTGTAGAACCCGAGAGTGAAACGATTCTAGTTGAACAAGTGCTGGAAGAATACCCGGTTGTCGTGGGATTTGGTAATTGTGGTACTGATCCGGAACCTGAGATCGTCAACGAAGGCAAGCCCCGGTTTATGCATTAAACCATTATCTTGTTTACTTTAAAAAGTTCATCACTTATGTTACTTATTGCATTAAGTTGATTAATTCAAATGTTACCTACTTGATGCATTGTCTACCTTGTTAATTGTTTACCATCCTTGAAGATGTTTTCATTTACAAAGGCGTAGAATGCTTAGTATGCTTTATGGTAGGCTTTCAAAGTAAAAGTTTCAATACAATCAAAGATGGCATACTGGCCAAAGAAAGAAAGAAAGAAAGAAAGAAGATAGAATGAACTAGAGACTAGTTGGGTGGCTTATCTTGAATGTTGGGTAATGTTGCCGACTATGTCGCTTAAAGGCCACTCATTGTGGATCTTCTGAACGCGACACTTTATAGTACTGATCACATACTTCGGTAAGCCTACTTCGGCTAATCCGATACTAAGACGAATGCCCACGCACTAGGAGTGGTGAGATGGCGGGAGTAGCATGTACCCTCGTGGCTTGAATGTGGCCGGATTTGAGGTGTGCTGTGCTCTCGGGTGGCATGGAGATGGTTTAGTATGGGAGGATCTGGTAGCGAGGTTGATATATGCAAGATTAAGTTCTACATATGTCGTGTGATAAGGAATCCCCAGCTGGGACTTGAATCAATTCGAATTGCCGGTGCTCCGCGGATATGGAGACTCGATTCATTACAGAAGCAATGTAGGACTAGTGAATTACTAAAACATGAGAAAAAGAATGGAATGAGAAGGATTGGAACATGGGATATGAACACTTAGTTGGAGATATTGAACTAAAATACTTAGTGGTAAAACTTGAAACTAGGATTAAGAATAGTAAGCTTTTGGCAAAGAATTTTTGAATCTTTCTACATCCTTACCTTGACCCAACACCTGCATCCCTAAGACCTTCACCCTTTTTCATCGGGTCAGTCTTGTTGAGTACTTTTTGTACTCAGGGTTTGTTAACCCTTGTTGCAGGTGAGTCGCATGCGCATGCTTGTTTTGGTCCCTGCTGCATGTCAGTGTATGAAGTTGATGACGATGAGGAATGATGAATGGCCTTTGGATAAGGCACTAGTTTGTGTGAAATAAATAATGTTAATGTAATATTATCTCGCTACTATGGTTATATGACACTTATGGTTATTTAAGTTTGAAACAACTGGTTTGTAATATTAAACTTAAGTCTTCCGCTTATTTACCTCTGGTATGTATATTGAAAAATGTTGTAATCTGTAATGACTGTGATTGGGA